CACCTCACCAGCGATCCGGTACCAATTTGGCATACGCAAACGGTCCCGGTGTGCACGTAAAAAAATAAAAACCTCAGCGACCCCACAGATTACAACACCCCGAAAATACCAAGCCAAACCCCACCGACAACGCAGGCCCTCAACGGGGAGGATCTCTTAACACCATTGGCATTCACGGATATTATCCAACACAATCCCTTCGGAAAAAGGATGGTTTATCACATCAGATGGTCACCACCCTGAGGGTATCCCACTGACAGAGGAGGGGGACAGTGGATGCCCTGAATTGCAGATTTTCAAGCGGACAGAGCCATCTCCCGTCAGGAACAGTGAAAGGAGAACCCCGTACCAAATCAGGTTGCTTATGAGGCACACTACTGAAATGTCCAGAAAAAAGTGCTTGAGCAGCATATCTGAACATGAAGAATCAAATTCTCTTCAGGGCGAAAAACGGGGCATCTCAAGATTAAAACCCGGCCAGGACCCCGGCCCTGGACCCGGCCGTTGCGAAAATTTCTTTTAATAAATGTCCTGAACTGTACATAAGTGCCCTTTTTCCACAGGAGTTTAATGTTTGGCCCCCCTCTCCGTTGCGAATTAAAGCGTATGTCTCTTTTCCCATATAAAACTGTTTTTCCTTTAATACAGATACATTGTGCTCTTCACATACACGAAAAACCTTTCTTTTTCTAGACTACATAACAGTCCCACATTAACCCTTTTTTCTTTTTCCACTTACAGTCTTTCCCCACTCCCATTCCCGACACTCGGGGCATATCAGAGAGTTCGGGTAATCGGCGCACACCCCTTTTCCTCATTCCCTCTCTCTCTCTTTTTTTCTCTCTTTCCCTTTTGAATACTAACCCCCTTGAGGATGGCCACAGCGGACTAAACCCAGGAATTATTTATGCTAGTTAAAGGGGAAACTGCATTTTTAATAAAATTTTTTCTTGTTTGTGTGGCCCAAAAATGGAATCATTTTCCAGGGTTTAGCTGAGTGCTCAAAACCTAAAAATTACTGTAGTGATCTACTTTCTGATATTTGTGTATTCATGTTTCTTCCGGGGCTGGCCTGCATACTTGCTGCCCCGGAAAACCCTTAACTGTCCCCTTGGATAACTCGCTATGCCGCATCACTACTGGGTTGGCTCATCTTAGGGCTATTGCTGGTGATTTTCATTGCCTGTCGGTTGTACAATTCAAGCAAATGTGTTAACATTTGGGGGAGCTGAAAACAGATTATGCCAGTCAGGCCCAATTTCTCACGGAAATATTTCTGGAAGTTGATTATGGCAGCATACTAAGGTTTCCCCCGGGAGTTGGGACACCCCGTCAGTTGGCCGTACACGCAGAATTCCGGAAAGTATTCTTTCCCCCGTAGGTGGGGAGGTAAATGTGATCTGTCACTTCTCTTTTTTTTTAACCCTTTATAAAAGGTATACTGTATTAGGTAGTTAGTAGAGTCTGTCCAGTATGCATTTAAATAAGCTTACAAAAGTTTAGGCGATTGAACTTTTTAACATTCTGATTCTAACTACATAGCAAAAATATATACGGTTTCCAGGATAAACAAGAAAAATCAAGCGGGGGACCTACCCCTCGGGGTCCCCGGTAAAAATTTTTATAGCAACCTTGTGTAAGTTACCCGGGAAACCCCAAAAGAGTTAAACGTAGTAATTAAAATGTAGGACCCGTTAATAGAAAAAAAGTAGCTTTTTTGAAATCGAAAAACACATTTTAGATAATTGCAACATCAACCCTCAACATATAGGGGATGGCGGCTGCTATAAATGCAGATGTGGAGTTAATTTGGGGAAAAACGAACATTCATAAGACAGAAGAATTCAGGCTTTTGTAATTCCCAGAAGGAAAGGTCCTTACGCTGGTGAGGGGCTCTTGATCAGGGAATTGCATTTGCTCCGGGCCCCTAATTGACCAATACTTTATCCCCCACAAGCGCTTTAACCCCCAGGTTACGCTCAATGATTATAATAATAAATTTTAATAAATTTTTAGTATATTTTTAAAATCATCACTATTTCAATACTTAGGTGTGCCCGCAAGCCTCTGTATGGAGTGGTGGTAAATTTAGGCGTTTAAAAACCTACACGGCGGGGGTTTGAACCCCAGATAGAAACCTCTGATCGCGGGTTCTAACAACCCCCCAGTATGAAATTTTTTGTAATGTGTCTTTCGATCTCGGATCCGAGAAAAAATAGATACAAAGTAGGGTTTTGTGACAACAAACAATCGATTCGTATATTAAAAAAAGTTTCAAAAAACCCTGAGCGTGTGGGGGTATTAGCCACTCGGTAACTTGATTTTTTTTGATATAGATTGGTTGAGAAAGATTAGTTCAGTTTTGAGCCGAATATCACTTCCACTTAAATTTTGTAAAATTCTTTCGTAAACCTCGGAGGTTCCCCCTCCCGTAAAAACCCTTTTTGTGGGGGGGAGAGGCGGGAGGTGTTTGTCACTAGGGGGGCCATACAGTTATACAAATTATCCTGGCATGCTCCTAATAACAAAAGTATGCAGACTAAAAGTTTAAAAAGTAGCTTTTTATAAGTTAGGAGCCATTAAAAAATAATACAAAATATGCCATGTTATCAGAAACATAACTAATGGGAATGTGGCTTCCATCTTAAAGAAGTCTCACTCATAGGATGATCTTGCTTGTGTTTCTTAATTGCAGTAAACGAGGATTTACTTACCCAGCAGTTGTCCTGTTCCAGATTTACCCAAATGTTCAGCAACTGGAGCTCTGAACTGTCTCGTTGTCTTAACAATGTACTCAGATTTTCATCTCGTACACGTATGTTGTACGATTTTAGGCAGTCAAGGATTAAATAATTAAACTTAAAAACTCTGTAATGTGCAGTTTTTCTTAAGGATTATACATGGAAAACATTGTGGATAAGATTATCTTAGTAATTTAATTTATCTCTAATATTATAATTATTACTTCCAATAAACTGTATATACATCCACTTGCTTTTTTTTTCACTGTAAAAAGTAGGATCTTTTGATGGTGCTGAAAGTTTACTTAAATGTTTACCTTTGTAAGTGTCAACAATACTGCGTGTGAGGTGTGGCTGTCTGACCGTGGTTGTTACATTTGTGGATACTTTGTATATTTGTAATTCTCAATATTTTTTACAGAAACTGTCCTTTATTAATATAAAGTAAACAAAGAGACGTTGGCGATAAACGTTATAGTATACCAACACGGTAAAAAAGATATACGTAAATGCATCTTTGTGACTTGATGAAGTCCACTGTGGGCAAAACATTATCAATAAAAGACATCATTACACTGTACTTGTGTCTATCACAACTGTCTATTACAGTTATTTTTGAGCCATTTGTGAATGATTTTCCCCCCTCTCTTTTCTTCTTTTTAGAGGGATTTTATGGGATAAATTGATAAAGCCTCATGTGATAGACTTCCTGGAGGAAGGTTCATAATGTTATATAACACAAGTAGATGCTATGTTGCCAATTTTATGTACCAAAATGTTATATTAATTTCCCTGACATGAGTTGTTAATGCCTCTTCTGATCTGCTACAAAGTCTGAAATCTGGTGTATCTTTGAGGAAAATTCAGATTGTTATTGAATTGTGTTGGTTCCAGTGTGCCAATTTTATTTAAAAAATTGTTCATTTTTTCCGTGCAATAGTTTGAGACTGCATCTTCTGAACAGTTTTAAACTTAGAACAATTATCAGTCAAGCCGAGTGGAATATTATACATAGTATTACCTTTCATAGGTTCAAATTTAATAGTTTTATAACAGTTTAAGAAGTGAGACTTACTGGTTTCCACTTAGCCATTTGGAGGAGATTCAAGGACTCAACTCTTGATTATTTTCTCAAAGGGAAGCTTAGTAGTGTTATTGTGCCGTGTAAGTCCCAATTTGCCTAATTATTAAAACAAATGAAAAAAATTGGTTTGTGACTGACAAATGGAGAATATCCCTTTGGATTAACTTCAAATAGTTTGAACAAGCTGTAGGCTTTTCAGTTATCTAGTTTTTTTTTTATATATTTTGTGATATTGGTTTATTGTGATAACTAGAGAATGCATCTTTATATAGATTTCAAACTTTAAATTCTGGTGTATCTTACCTGAAGGAACGTTGTCACTTCACGAGGCAGATTTTCCAAATTTGTAAATTTCGAGAAACAAATAAAAAATCTTACCCACCATTGTAGAATGTGAAAAATAAACATAAGTATAAAGAGAAAAAAAAAGAAACGGGGAAAAAATATCTTTTGTATGATATGTTGAAATTTTCTGAGTGATACTGCAAAAATAATATAGTTTTTGACTGGGTTCATGTCTAGATACTGTGCCTCTTTTATAATATTAATCTATAGCTCCAGGACTTCTTGTTTAGCTGTCAGGTTTCTCAGAAGAAGTTTAGCAGCGGCGTATACATCGTGGGGAATTTTGACGTACAGCTACATGGCCTATTGAATGGACTGAAAATTATGTATTTTTTTTAAATACATCATAGAATGTTTCCTGTGAAGGAAATGATCCTAATCTGGTTGGTTGTTTAATTGGGATTAAAACCTATCGAGTACTCGAAGGGTCATTAAGGCTGCATGTCGCCTGTCCACCATCGGCTAAGAATAATTTAATAAGTAAAAATGGACGACATTCAGCGTACACATTCAGACACATGCAACTCTCGGTATATATCGCCTGCGTATCTAAAGTGAAAGTTTACTTAATAAAAAATTTTGGGGCGAGTGTATTTTCAGACATTTATAACTGTATATACATTCGTTTATATACGTTAACACACGTATCTGTGTATATATAGTCGTGTGAACGTATACATTCAAATTCTTAATACAGAAAAACTAGAGGCAGTTCCCATGCTCCTCTACAGAGAGAGAGAGAGAGAGAGAGAGGAGAGAGAGAGAGAGAGAGAGAGAGAGAGAGAGAGAGAGAGAGATAACAAAGTGGAAGATAACATGTCAGTGACTGGCTGAAGGCTGGAGAACATATCCACAACATTGCGGCTGCTAAAGTTTTGAAAATTTTACAGACTTAGAGTTGACGGAGAAGCTAGCTGTGATGGCGGTGATTAAGGTGGTCATTATGGCAGTGGCAGCTGTGGTAGCAGTCTCAGGAGGACCCACAAGTAAGGCTACAGGTTAAGGTGAAGCTCACTTCTAGCAGTGTAGTGAGGTGGGCGGCTGGCAGGGGCAACGCGGCAACCTTATCATCGTTATTATCTATGTTGATCGCTAGCGCAGTCAGCGCATACAGTGAGGTCCGGGAGTCCGATTCCCGGTACGTTTGGAAACATTAGGACGTGTTTCATTAAGACACCTGCTGTCTATGTTCACCCATCAGTAAAATGGGTACCTGGGTGTTAGTCGGCTGGTGTGGGTCACATCCTAGGACAAAACTGACCTAATTTGCCCGAAATGCTCTGCATAACAAGCAGCCTTTCTATATAGTAGCATGCCATTGATTTCAGCTAGGTCTATATACCTTGTATATGTACTTGTAGAAATAATAATAATAATAATAATAATAATAATAATAATAATTATTATTATTATTATTATTATTATTATTATTATTATTATTATTATTATTATTATTATATTATTAATTATTATTATTATTATTACTTGTATGAAGATCGCTGCATATATTGTTGCTGAACACTAACTGGTGACCCAGAAGGGTCTGCAGTAAAAAACTGTACTCACCTATTTGTACAGTTGCACAATCCAGGGCAATATGGGTTCAGAGCAGGTCGCTCCTGCCTCCCGCAACTACTGGACCACTATGATATGGTCTTGGAAACAGAATGCACTTGCAAAAGCCTCTCACAAGTGCGATCATGGTGTAATAGCACACAAAATGCGTGCTAAAGGGATTACTGGGAAAATGGGCAGATGGATCTTCAGCGTTTTAACCAATCGAACACAAATAGTAGTGGTAAACAGAGTTAAATCCGAAACTGCCATAGTGAAGAGCTCTGTTCCACAAGGCACAGTACTCGACCCCATCCTGTTTCTCATCCTCATATCAGACATGTAAACCATAGCACCATATTCTTTGCAGACGATACTAGGATCTGCATGAGGGTGTCATCAATTGAGGACACGGCAAATCTTCAAGAAAACATAAACCAAGTTTTCCAGTAGGCAACGGAGAACAATATGATTCATGCACAATGAAGACAATTTCAAACTACTCCGTTATGGAAAATTGGAAGAGATAATAATTAAAACTGAGTATACTACAAACTCGAATCACACAACAGAGCGGTAAAGTAATGTAAATGACCTGCGAAGCAATGTCGGGGAAAATCTCGTTTTCCAAAGGGATCCCCAAACAGTCCATTACCCACTTTTTGCGAGGAAAAAAATTGGAAGGATAATAAAAATTTATTAAAGACAAAGATGTAAAGGGGCCAATGAAAAATTTCCTTTTTAAATCATTTGGGTTCCTCTGGGGGTTTGGAATACGGCTGTACATTAACTTGAAAAAGTGGGGTTTTAGCTTGCGCTTTGGGAAAGGGTTTATATTCACAAAGGCTCATTTTTTTAATTTTTTTAATTTTTTTTAAACAATTTTAAAACCCCAGGCGGGTATTTTTTCTAGACAACTTTTTGGGTTTTTTTGTCTATTGCTACTAAAAAACACTAAAAAAAGTTAAAATTTTTGATTTCAGGAAATTTAAAAAAATGGGTCACATCATAATCTATGGATAACTTTTCTACATATCTGGGTGTTTTTTTTTAGGGTTATTTAAACTAATTAAGATGAAAAATTTTCCTTTTAGTATGGGTGATACAAGGTGATAAAAATTTTGGGCGGCGATCTGTGAAAAAAATTTCTTTGGGTTGGGGGTTGTAATAGTGCGGGAAAAAACATCCCACTGAGGAATGCACAGTGAAGTTTTAAAAGTCAGAAGGGGAAAGGGCCCTTTTTTTTAAATTGGGTAAAACTATAAAAAGGGGGGATCAAAACCTAAATTTCCGTTAATAAAAACCCGGGGTGGGGCCCAAAGCCAGCCTCAAACCCTTGCCATCCTTTTTGGCCCCCACCCCCGGGCAAGTGACCACGAAATCGAAAATGAAAACGATTAAAAACAAACCACACCCGGGGGGGGTTTTAAAAAACCCGGGTCAGAGAGTCTAACGTGAGGGGTTCTGGATTTTTTAGACCCCTCTTCCCGGCTGGTTAAAACCCCAACCCGTGTATGGTTTCTTTTGCAAGTGTGGGAGAGAAACCCCCTCTGAAAAGTTTTTCTGGAAACACCAACTGCCTTCTTTACACCCAATTGTAAGGGGGGGGGGGGGGGGGGGCTAGCCGCCCCTGTTTGCACCCCATGGAGCTACAAAATCTCCCCACCGGGTCCCCAACCTTGATTTACACCTCAGTATGGGGATGGGGCCCTGTCCCCCCTTTCCCAACACTCGGGGTCCCCCCATTTCCTGCCGCCAACCTGTCACTCCCATCGAAATTTGGGCAGGGGAAATTTCGCACAGGAAATTGCTTACTTTTGGAAAATTAAAAAGGGGTAAAAAATACCGACGGGTTTGTTGGGAAAAGACCATTCCCAACATTGGGTATCTTTTATTAAAAACGTTTCCCCTACACAGTGGTTTTTCTTCATCAAGAACTTTGATATCTTTGCTTTTAACTGAAACGTGGTATTTTTTAAAAAGAGCCCGGGATAGACTGTGATGTAATATTCAGGGATTTAATTTTTTCAATGGGGAAATAATGTAATGGGAAGGGGGGGGATTTGAAATTGTATGTTCGAGAAAAAATTAATTTTTGCTTTAAAAAAAAGGTATAAAAATAGTTTGGGGGCATTAACAGAGTCTTTTTGGGGAAATTTTCGGGGAGGGCCCAAAAAAAAAAAAATTTCTAGGTGTAATAAAACCAAACCTCCAGGTTTGGGATCACGAAAGAGGGAACTTCTTTGGGACGAAATTGTTGGGGCTTTTTGGACACAGTAACGTATTCATAGAGGGGACTTTAAAACTTTGGGCCAAATTGACTGGAATTTTTTGACGGGTAACAGAGTCCAGGGGATTTCCCTTTGAAACATTTTCAGGACTGTTTTTTTTCTAAAACAGAGTGAAAATGAACCTCCCGGGGGGTAAAAATTTTTGCTAGCCAAGTCTTGGCCCAAATAAGGAAACACCGTGAAAATCTGGAGATCACTGAAAAATTTTGGGCGCAAGTGCCAAAAAAATCCACCCCTTTACTTTAAAATTGGGAATGCAAAAAATAATGAAAAAACAGAAAAAAATCCCCGTTTTTTCCGTTCTGCCGATTATAATGGACTTGGGGAACATTTTCCCCAAAATTTTGATTGGGGTTATCTAGCAAATTTAATTGACGAAATCATACTTTTTAATTTTAAGGGATCGTTTTATATTTTTTTCTTAATAAAAACACGTTCCCAGAGTATATACATCCCCAAGAAAAATTTTAAGGTCTAATAAAAACGACCCCAAAGGGTTAACAGGGGGCCAAAAAGCTCTTTTGGGGGAAAAAAAGGGGAAAATTTATAGCCATCAAAAAGGGGAAAGGGGTTTAAACCCTTTACTGACCAATATGTTCAGCTTAAAAGAGAAGTAAAAAAGGCGATTAAAAAGGGCCCAAACTAACATAAAAATTAATTTGGGCAATGAATCAAAGACTAACCCAAAAGGGGGTTTCTTTAAAGGTTTATGGAGGGAAGGGTAAAGGGAAAAAAAGGGGACCCCCTAAAATTTCTGGAATGGCCCGGGCTAAACGGATAATTAACGGGAAAAAGGTTTTTCCTTTTTTAAATTTACATTTTTTTTTTCCAGTTTTTACACGGGAAGTGTAAAAAATTCCAGAATTAAAAATTATTTTATTCCTGATAAATTTTTAAGTTAACTAATATTACTTTTCAGGGGGAAGGGTTTTATTAAACAGATAGCCCAAACTGAAAAAAATAAGCCCCGGGGGAAACCCCGATGAGTTGTTTCAAGGGTACAAAGGGGGTTTGGAAAATTTGGGAGTTTAAACAGCCCAATTAAGGGTGATTCAATGCCCCCATCCTTACCAGGTTGGCCAAAATGTGGAAGATGGCTAATTTTGGTTCCTATATTAAAATCGGGGGATAAGCCCCACTCCTTAAAAATTACCGCCCCAATAAGCCTGAAAATTCTATAGGGGGCCAATTTTTATTAAATAAAATTATAGCGACATTATCAGAAGTCCCCTTTTAAAGAGCAAAACTTGTTTAAATGAATCCAGCATGATTCACGAGAGGTCGTTCCCCCCGGACAAACTTACTGCGTTCTTAAATTTAAACATTTAAAGCAGTTGAAAAGTGAAAAGGGAAATATGATATTTTTTAATTTGGATTTTTAGAAAAGCCTTCGACAGAGTACCCACAAGGGGCCCCAAAAAAAAAGTGGCGGGCTCAGGGTATAGGATTAAATTTCTGGGAAAGGATTGAGGAAATGGCTTACCAATAGAAAGCAGAAAATTTACCATTAAAAGGAGGAAATCATAAAAGGGGGAAAAAAAAAAAATTTTAAAAATTCCTTTAGGGGCTTTCCCACAAGGATCAGTTTTAGGCCCTTTTCTTTTTCAAAATTTTTACATTAATGACCTTGATAAAGGGGTTTAAACTTTTGACATGAGAAATTTTCTATGATAAAAAGGGAAAGGCCGTAAAAATTCATTTCTGAGGGGGATATCAATGAACCCAGGACGATTTGAACAAATTAATGTCTTGGTCTGAAAAAGGGAAAGATAAGTTTTTGGAAAAGGGGTAAGGAATTTTGCCCTTGGAAATTTAAAAAAACCCCTCGAAGCATACTCTAGGTGAAGTAGAGTTTTTGGTCAAACAGAAGGGGAAAAAAAAAAGATTTGGGAGTCAGGGGTTAAAAGCAAAATCAAAAACCCAAGCCCAGCGGGCCCCTTTCCAGGGGTGCGCAAAAAGGGGCCAACAAAATTTCCCTTGGGAAATTTATCTCAAAAAAATTAAGTAACAAAGCCCAAAAAATTTAAATTTAACAGCTCTATAAAAACACTAGTGAGGCCTCATTTAGTTTTTTGCTGCTCAGTTTTTGGCCCCCTTTTACACGGGTTTGGACATAGCCCTCATTGAGAACTTTACAGAGA